AACGACGTCTGGCACGTAAGTGTTGAATGAATGTAGGAGGAGTTGAGTGCAGATTTGTCCTGTCTTCTATTGTTGGCTTATTCCTACTGTCAGAATATGTGCTGCTTCATCCCTGTGTAGATGATTCAAATAATCAAAGCTATTATCTCCAAAGATCTGATCTCTCCTGTAGTTATTATTGCTTCTCATAACTGTAGCTAGCTTTCCTTTTCTCTTTATACTTCTTTTTGTCTCTCGGTCTTTTATACGTTTGTTTTTGAGATTTTTATTTTTTTTAATTGATGACTTTGGTATAAAAAAAGTGACTTTATGGCCACTGGACAGTAACTAAAATGTTCTTTTCCTTCTAGGTAATGACTCAACTAGTTATAGCATACAGAGGTGAGCTCTTATCTAAGAGTTTGACTTTTTATGATGATTTACTCATTGTCTTCTGGGGGTGGGGGTAACACCAGGTGGGGGTCGAGACTTTAGTACCATTTCTGATGCTTGAGAGTCCTGGAAATGTAGGCTTTAGATAAATAGACTTTATCTTTTAATCAGTGATTTGACAGCCAAAAATCCTGTCTGGATTCTGACAGTCCGCTTAGGTTGTGCTAGACATGGTAGATGTCCTGATGAAGCCTTAGGTTTGGAATATGTTCACATTTTACCATTCAACTTATATACAAATGGCCAAATTTATGGTTGTGAGGAATTTTCCTCTCTTTTGAATTGACCCTGCCCTGAGGTGGGATTATTGACTTTTTTTAAGTTACGTAATAAACCTCAGAGAGGTTAATCATGGTTTTTAGGCTTTTTTTAACTAATTTGCAAACAGTATAGGAAGGTCACCGGCTTTGCCAATTATCTGAGATTCACCTTGTGCCTAATGGGACACTGAGTTTTCCCTTCATACAGTGAAAGTAAGAACACTGCTGATAGGAGTGCCAATTAAATTTGAGGTATTTGATAAATAAGCAGTTTGCGATACCTATGAGCCAATTGTAGAACCATTTTTCTCCTTCCTCTTGTTAAACATCAATTTCATACTGTAAGGTCAGACCCTACCATTTTTACGGATAAATAGTTGGTTGACTCCTTAAACACATCCATTGGGTATCCTAGGGTCAATAAAGTTGTAGTTCTCTACTTAATATCTTTGTCATCATTATCTGTTCAGTAAGAACTGGCATTCATAGGAAAAGCATGGAACAATGAGAGACCCTTGCTCATTTTCTGTGTACTATATTTTTATGTCTCTGGGTGATAATGTGCTTGTCTGCTAACTGAAAGGTTGAAGGTTCAAGTCCACGCAGAGGTGCCTCAGAAGAAAGGCCTAACGACCTACTTCTGAAAATTCAGCCATTGAAAATCCTATGGAGCACAGTTCTACTCTGACACATAGGGTCGCCGGAAGTCGGAATTGAGTCAAGTGGTATACATATATATTTATGAGTGTTTGTGTTCTATATGATATCTACACAAATGTAGATCCTGGACCCTTGTGTTTTTTCATGGTGGAATAAAACATGTGAGCAATCACTAGCCTTGAGTGCTATTTTGCCCAAATAATTTTCAATGCCAGATAGGTAGTTATGATCAAGTTTGTTGTTGTGTTTTACTACTGGGTTATACTTACAAATCAAAGTCTGGTACTCAATATTAAATTGATAAGGTATTAGGTAGGTTTCTAGGGCCTCTTTGCGAGTAATTGAGTTCAGGATTTAAAACTAATGGATATGTGTGAAAATAAAATTTAAAAAAATGACAATAAATCTAACTTTGTAGTTTTGTTGTTTCTACTGCCTTAAACTCAGTGGGTAATATTTACATAAATTCTTCCATTTTTGTTTATGGTGTAATTCAGGGTGGAAAAGTCAAGATAAACTACATTTTCAAATACTTGTTTTGTCACTCTCTTTTAAAATTTTTTGAATGAGTATACGGCTAACTTCTATTTTAGGTAGAAATACATTTCTAAGAACTAATTCGATCATGGCATAAAAACACCACAGTTGTCCATTAACATATTGTAAGAGAAAATTGTGTAAGCTATTTGCATTATGTTTTTGCAAACTGATACAAATTAAAATGTCAATGAAGTAATTATTGTCAGCATGCCACCGTAATATGAAGTGTGCCCATCCTTCCAGAAATTTACTTACACATTTCCTAATCTTCACTGTATTAATAATTTCACCATCTTCCGAGAGAGTGTCACTTTTTCAAAGGCATTTTCTGATAAAGATTACTTAGCAGTTTGTTTTTCACTTTTAAAAAAATGCTTTGGTTGATTCTCTCAAATTGTTCTCTGTTGTTATTTCAATTTATGAAAGAAGGTATTGAAACACAGGAATATTGAGGTACATGTACAAGTTCCTGACAGAATTTGGATTAATGCTTGTGTTTGGATGAGTCAAGAGTTAAACCAAGAAACACAACAAATTATTTTGCTTAGAGCTACAAAAAATTAAATTATGTTGTTATTGTTATTAGCTATCATTGAGTCAGCCCCTGACCCATGGTGGCCCGATGCACAATGGAACACAATGCCGCCCAGTCCTGCACCACCCCATGATCTGTTGGGGATCAGACAATTGTGATCCATAGGGCTTTCCTTGGCTAATTTTCAGAAGATCACCAGGACTTTCTTCCTAATCCGTTTTAGTCTATAAACTCCACCGAAACCTGTTCAGCATCATGTTGTTGTTGTTAGGTGCTGTCGAGTCAGTTCCAACTCGTAGCGACCCTGTGTACAACCGAACAAAATACTGGCTGGTCCTGTGCCATCCTCACAATCCTTGCTATGTTGGAGCCCAGTGTTGAGCGACTGTGTCAATCCATCTTGTTGAGGGTCTTCCTCTTTTTTGCTGACGCTCTACTTTACCAAGCATGATGTCCTTCTCCAGGGACTGGTCCCTCCTGATAACATGTCCAAAGTATGTGAGATGAAGTCTCGCCATGTGTGGTGGTTGTGCGTGAGGTGCCTTGGCTGGGAATCTAACCTGGCTCTCCCACATGGTAGGTGAGAAACCACTGAACCACCAATGCCTTAATTAAAAACTACATAGTTAAAAAAAATCATGTTCAGAATCAGAAAATGGCTCTTCTTTGGGAGGAAATTTTATAGGACCATTAAGAGCATGTTATTTTCTTACAATACAGCAGACTTTGTTTTAATTTATAAGATTCATACCTTAGAGGCATTTTAAAGGGACAAAGGTCTATTGTTATTCTCATTATTACTTTGCAGTCCTGATAGGACAGAAATCTTTTAGAATTCAAAAGGTAAAAGAAGAATAGAAAAGGTAGACACTTAAGTTTTCTAATTTCTTTGAAATGACAGGGGAAAAAAATATAGATGTCTCGTCCCTTTAGCGAGAACTTATTTAAGGCTTATTCAAAGAGTGTATCCAAAGCACCCAGGTGTGTCAATTTTCTTCTTAGAAACCAGCCAAGCCTCTGAAATGGGTCAGTGTGCTTTAGGCACTCAATTGCCTTCTCCAGGCTAGGTCTTTTAAGCACACGTGCTAAGTGGAGGGTCTTTCTGCGCCTTACTCATACTCAGACAGGAACTTGGCAATCCAGGCAATTCTTAGAATTGGCTTCTCTGTGGGATTCATGGGAAGTTATTTACAAAGCTTCAGTTGTTAAGGTCAAACAACTCAAACTCTCAATAAGAGGGCAGAGAGGGAGTTAGAGCTGTAGTGACTGTTTTGCTCAAGAAAGTGAAATAGAAAGGTTTTTCTTGGATTCCACAAATCCCCATTTTAAAAGAAAAATTCACAAACCTTGAATAGCTATAACCTTGATGGTTTTTTGGATTCTCTCAAGAATCAACCTGAGTGATTTACAGGCTTGTAGTTACTATTTACCAATATTCAGTCAAGTTTTTGTTTGTTTGCTTTCTTTTATTAAGGGATAACAGGAAGCGAATATTGTCATTTCCTCTTATAGTATAGTCTGGCTTTACTAGACTTTCAAAAGAAATACAACATGCTTTTTACTTTTAACTTTTAATATAGTTGGAAAGGAAACTTGAGACATCTAGTTCAATGCCCTTAGATATTACAGAAGAATCCCTGAAACATATTTTAGTTTAGATTTTTGTAGTTGAATACTAAAATTATTCTTGTAAATAAACCTCAAAATTGATATGCTTAACATTGCAAATCAAATCATATAATTATACAGATAAACTATATATAGCAAATTAATTAACTAAATCATGCTACTAGATTGTCTAGCCAAGTGAATATATTATAGATAAATATGAGCAAGCATTTTTAAAACCACTAGATGGCATTCATTCACTGTAATTTTGGCCAAATTACAGACTTTGAAAGCTTTATCATGATATGCAGGGTTAGGGAGAAGGCAAATGTTATCTATTATTTGATGATATTTTCCTATCTTTTAACCCAGTGAAAAAGTTCAGTTTTATCTCTTCCCATCTGCTTCAAATCAAAGAAAATAAAATCAACAAATACTTATTGAAGGCTTTATTCAAGAATTCTTTTTTGGGGAGGATAGTTGAAAACTATCTTTACTGTGGTGGTAATGTATTTACTTGCAGCATCTAGCAAAAATTCGTAAAACACAGCATTTTACTTAATTTTCTTTTCTTTTATATTCCATTGCTATTTCTCATGGAGTTACTTCTCGAAAGACTAAACAGAGGCACACAACTACAAAATTAAAAAAAAAAAAATGATGGCATTAATCTTCAAAATTAGTGTTTTTGAAAATAGGAGGGCAACTGGCTTTTAACAATTCACAGAGTCCTTCAATTGTACATGTCTTAAATGTGTGAGAAATAGTGCTTCTAACTACATTAAGGTCTAAGAACCAAAATGGACTATGATTTGATCCTGGAGATTAATCATGGAATAAAAATGCCCCAACCTCACACTCCAAACTAAAAGACTGGGAGAAGATATTGGTGGAGACAAGTAAATCAAAGGTTAACTTTTCTGTAGACGGTCTATGTTAATAGTGACATAAAATCTAGAACTTACCTGTTCTAATATGTTTTGAAGCCTTTCTATCTCACAGTCTATTACAAATTTCTTCTCTTGCCTTCTGTCAAGCTCTTCTAGAAGTTGTCTATAGCTGACATCATTAAAGTTTTCCACACATATAGCACTGACATGCCAGCCATTTTGTCCTGCTTTTTCCATAATAGCTTGCAGTATTGAGTATCCTATTGGGGAAAGAACAAACCAAAGAATTACTAAAAAAAATGTTTTTGACAAATGTCATTGACTTATGCAGTCGATGAGTCTACATCAACATTTTTATGTTCTAACATCTCAATTGAATGCTTAGAAATTTAACAATCTGAGTGGTTATTTCTGAATCATTTGTTTTTGCTTTCTCTGCTAGGGCAACAAAATTTCTTAAAATATTGGTTGAATGAGGTAGTATCACCCTAGTAAGCTCTCAAAATCTCTCTACTGAAGGATATTGCATTGCTCTAGACAAATTTTTGATGAGATAAACAAAACACCAAATCCAGTACCACATGGGGTTAATGACAATTTGATAAACATGTTTTGTTATTTACTCACTAGACAGAATTCATTTTGAATAACAACATTTTTGAGTCCAACTATAGAAGACAGGATGTAAAAGAAACAGTACAACAGTATTTATTGAGGATCCATTAATGTCCGAGACTCAAATGCCGACAGGTGTATATAGAGAAGGCATTATTTAATTCTCCCTTGCTTGGCAGGAAGTGGTGTAAAATAGAGGCGAGTTGAATAACCACTAGGGCCAGGAATTGGGTTATAACATTTGCTTTCTTAGATAGCTCCGGGCTCTGATAACTGGAGGCACAAAACACCCAAACCAAAAAGGGAAATTTGAGATTCAAAGGCTGGGATGTACTCAGGTACAAGTGGAGATGTAAGCACAAATGAAACATGGTTCGATCGAGGAACATATAGTTTAGAATATGCTGTCATAACATGCATGGGAGAAAGATGTGACAGGCTGCTTCTGTAAAGATTATAGCCTCAGAAACCCTATAGGGCAGTTCTACTCTGTCCTACAGGGCTGCTATGAGTTGGAATTGACTCGACACCAATGTTTATTTATTTACTTATTTTTAAATCATAACGTGTGAAAGCATGATAAAACAGAACAGATGACAATTCTAACAGTTATCTTTGCAACTTTGCTACAAATGGAAAGCATAAAACTTCTAGGACAAACCAAATCTAATTTCACAACTGTTTCAACATTAGGCAAAGGTGAAATTTATTTTCTTGTATACTTCAAATTTATTTTCGATGTTTTCTGTTGAAGATGAGGAAGACAGTCATAAATCTAAATAAATACACTAATTCAATCTCTAAGGAACATTGTGGATATATCCCCTGAAGTGAGACTCCTATACTAATAAGAGTAATAGTACACAATGAAAAACATTCACTAATTCAAAAATTGTTTATTGAGCTAGCATGGAGTTAGATGCTGGGGACAAACAGATGAATAAGGGACAGTTTTTGCCCCCTCACGAAGTAGAGGGAGAAAGGAACAAAAAGCCAGTGAGTGCTGTGACAGAGGCAGTCACAGGATGCCGTGGAAGCACATGCATGGAAAAGGGGTTGCAGGTGTCAGGGAATACTCCACAGAATAAGTTATATCTGAAACGAGCCTTAAAGACAAGTAGGACTGGCAAGGTAAAGGAAGAGTAAAAGTGCATTTCAAGCAGAGGATTATCATGCCCCAAAGCAAAGAGGCAGGAGAGCATTATTCCCCTATCCTTACCTTCACCAAGACAAACAACCTAGAATTAAATGATGAGAACAGACATTTGCTCTGAGTATCCCTCTTTGACTACCCATAGGGATAGATGGATCATATATTTCTACCTGTTGGCTCCCTTTCTAAGCAATCCCTGGATGAACACTTTTTAAATTTAGCCAGCTACTAAAACAAAAAAAAAAGAAAAAACAAAACTTACAAAGTTAATGGCAAGCATGGGGTGAAGGAAGAACTGGATGCTCAAACTCGTAATCTTGGAGAGGAGACAAGCATTCAAATAAACAGATGCAATTTAGTTTTAAAAAATGTGATCATAATAGTACTCAAGGCCAATTGCTGGCCCAAGAGAAGTCTTGGTTAAATTTGCCTTGATGGGTCAAGAAAAAACAACGCAGAGGAGCAACAACTTGAATTGAGTCTTAAAGGTTGAGAAAGAAGTATGCTGAGGAAAGAGGGAATGTTTATTAGCCAAAGACAGCCTTCCGTGAGAAGATGGGATGGTCTCTACCCTGTCCTGGATCTGGATCTTTCTGCATGAGGAAGGGAAGTCCCCTGGTCCTAGCACCTGGGCTAAGGAGTGAGGGACAAAACCATGGTCCCTGAGCTTGTAGTGTATATTCAAGCCAAAAGTATTTTGAAACCTTCTTGCTTTCTCCAGCTCTCCAGTTTTACATTGGAATGTGAGATGAGAAGGGGGAAGGGATTTTTTGTCTATAAATATCCCTTAGACAATAATGGGTTAGGATCAGAGTCCATTAAGTTATTTTTTCACCTTATGGATTATCAGAAGCAATATATTCTAGTCTTTAAAAAAAAAAAAAACAAACTGTTGCCGTCGAGTAGATGAAGGTCTAAAACCATATAGATCACCAGGATCCAATCCCGTTGTACATGGGGTCACCATGAGTAGGGGGCCACTTGATGGCAGCAGGTAGCAAACAACAACCATGCTTATCTGAGCTCCTTCTATAGCAGCTGCCTATACTTCCCCCCTTCCTTGGTCCCAGGAGTTACAGTAGGGGAACTGGATGGGTTAAAAATGAAGACTTAATAGCTAAAATGAATATATAGCCCTTGCAAGAAAGGAGCATATTTATTCAGTTTTCTGACTGGTATGTGAGTCTCTCAAATTCAGAGATTTTGATTGTAAGGTATGTCTTTTACATGTTAGAGTTTCAAACATTAGTGATGCTTAGTTAATATCAACAGATGGAACTGATGATGAAATCACATTTGAAATCTAAATTACCTGATATCCTGCCAAATGAAATACTGTGGCAATCAGTATTCATTTTTATCTAAGCAGGGAAAAAAATCCCCAAAGAGGAAGAAAGAGGGCACGTTAATTGCTATATAATTATTCTGGTATTCCTATTGCTCCATTTAGTCTTTCCTTTTGTAATGCATGCCTGTAATTATCTTTTCAAATCTTACCTAGATTTCTCGCCTAAACCTGGTACTCTTTTCCTTGTTTTCTAGTCAATGCATGTGCAACATGATGGTGTAAGTCCTGTCTTAATATACATGTTCATGCCTCATTTATTCTGTTACTGGATCTTGCTCTCTGAGAGTAACTGAGGCACTGTTCCTTTTTATTCACTTTTTGACACACCTGTGAACATTTTCTTTGCCTCAAAATGTTTTTAAAAATATTAACTGATGTTTTAGCTTTCCTTTCTCTCTTTTTACTTACAGTCATAACAAAATAATTCAAAGACTTTGTGTTTGTTTCATTTAAGTGTTGTAAAAATGATGAATATTATGATATTAGCCACACATATTGAAGTTTTCTTGCTCCACAAGATCATTTCACAACCTGGCACAATTCTTTAGAAATGACTTTTCTTTTTTGGGCATAATGTGGTCATAAGGTCTCATGTCAGTACCAGGCATCCGTGTTGCTATTTTCTTGCTGGTATGACGTTCACAGAATGTAGAGCTACAAGCCTTCTGATGAACTATATACATGTTCCCAGATGCATTATAGGTATTAAAAGAATCTCCCTAAAAAAACAAAACTATAATTCTAATCCAACTTTCATTATCTGATTTCTCAAGTTTCCAAATATCACTAGAATTGAAATAAGATAAAATCCTAGGATACAATCTTTGTTAAACGGCAAAATTGGCTGCCTTAAAAAACAAATAAACAAAACATTAATCATAATCAGAAACAAATGACATCTTTTGAAAGCAATGCAAAGGACACAGAGTGTCAGAACCTGGCTGAAAACGTGAATTCTCTTATAAGCTGTGTTTGATTTTAATATGCTTTCTTATTTTTCAGTGCTACTTGGATATGTATGTTTTAATTTATTTGCCAAGATAGTATAACTAGGAGAAAATACTGCTGTTGAATCTATTATTATATAACTTAGCTGTTATGTGAAGTGGAAAATCTTATGTCAAGTCATACTATCTCTATGTTTGGCTATAATTTTTATCTTCTAGTTATTAGAAAATCTGCAATACAGTAGAATTAGCCACAAAATTAATGCTGCTGTTTTAGGTGAACTCACATGACTAATGGGAAATTCACTATTGTAAAGGATCTTTTAAGTCTTGTTTCTATTAAAAAAGCTATCTAATATTTTAATCCAGTGTAATTTATTGAAAACCTACTACATCCAAGATTCTGTAAGTCTATCAAGATAAACAAAACATGGTTCTTGCCTTAAGAAGGAATTTACTATCTAGCAAACCAATAGTTATGTAACTAACCATTCTATAAATAATTTCAAAAGAATCAAAATAAGTTTTAAAGTAGTACTTAGAGCACGCAGTACACACACATTACTGAATTTCATCAATGAAAGGCTTTTTGTGGTTATTAAAGAACGTTATCCAATTATACATAAAATATTTTCAAAAATGTTATTATGTCATACAATGATATTATAAATTATGCTAATTAATCAAGGTAAACATCCTTGAGCTACTGCATCCTTACACATCAATACTTTTTATATCATCCGTGGATAATGACCTGTTTTGGATGAGTAGTACCTCAGAGACATGGCTGCTAACAGCACAAGCTGGGCTTATTTATTTGTTGTTCTCTTTTTGCAAGTGTTATTTAATTCAACTGTCTGTACACAGAGGGGCAGGAAGAGAAGTAGGAGAAATTTATGCTAGGGTGGATATAATTATAAAGAGGAGGCAGTTATCCACATGCCACAAAAAAACTTTCAATTCAATAAGGACTGAAGAGCACCCACTGTGTTTTTCAATTAGAATGTGACATTCTACATCAGCAACGCCAACGGAATGCTGGATGGAGAAGCCATATTTGAGAGGTCATATTCAGAAATTGAGGAGAAAATGGGAAGAGGTGAGAATGTAGAAATTATCAGGGAATGTAATCAGGGCAGTGAACTAATGAGATGAAGGGTATGCTATTTTTAGTAAATATGGAGTAGAGAAACACTA